CCTCACAAGTTCTTAATCTCAAACCTCTTGCGCAGCCTCTCCCCATGCCTCAGAAAGAGCCAAGCGACGGGGGACAGCGCGACGCCGATGAAGCCGAGGATGCTGTTGCCCCAGCCCATGCCCAGGCGGTTGTACATGGGCAGGCCGGCGAGGGGGAGGACGGCGCCGGCGACGGAGCGGATGACGGCGTTGGCGGCGAGGGCGGAGGCGGCGTAGACGGTGAATGTGTCGACGAGGTACATTTGGAGGGACTGTATTTCCGTGTGTGAAACATTGTCTGGTTAGTTTCTGGGGTGCTGCGCTTGCTTTGAGGTTCTGAAACAGGGGGAGGAAGAGGGGGATGTCTTACCATGTAGACGATGAGGTCGCCCACGCCAATGACGACGGTGCCGATGATGGGCGCGATCCAGTGGACTTTATACTCGGCGGTCCAGCCGTAGATGAAGAAGCCTATAGGAAGCACGACGGCGCCGACCATGAGCGGCGAGAGGCGATACTCGGGCTTCATGCCTTCCGGGGCGCGGCCCTCTGCCTCTGCGGCGAGGGCCTCCTCCGCTGCTTTTCTCTTGATGTTCCTGTCGCTGGTGAGGGAGAAGAAGGCGACGCCAATCATGCTGCCGAAGCCGATGCCGAGAAAGGTGAGCCCCGCGTAGCTCGTCTTGAAGTGGTAGATTTCCATGAAGAGGGGCGTGAGGCTGGTGAAGAGGAGGTAGAGGTAGGCGTATACGACGCCGACGTAGACGCCGCAGATGATGCTAATGGGGGAGAGGACGAGCATCTTGAAGGGGCGGAGGATGCCGCGCTTGAGGTACGCCGCGTGAGAAAGGCCCGGGTCGAGCTTGGAGCGCAGCAGCGGGTTGTTTGTGCGGCGGCGCAGGCGGTCTGCTTTGCGGCGGAGCAGGACGGAGGCGTACGTCTCGCGGGCGCAGAGGGCGTAGAGCAGGGCGAGGGTGCCCGACAGGATGGCCATGATGTAGAAGACCCAGCGCCAGCCGAGGGCGGTGGTGATGAAGCCGCCGACGACGGGGCCGACGACGGGGCCGAGGAGGGGCCCGATGGCGAAGCAGGCCATGGCGGCGCCGCGGCGGTCCTGGCGGATCATGTCGGTGATGGAGCCGCCGCCGTTGGTGATGGGGCAGGAGCCGAA